CTTGGGAGCAGAGCCTTGGGAGCAGAGCCTTGGGAGCAGAGCCTTGGGAGCAGAGCCTTGGGAGCAGAGCCTTGGGAGCAGAGCCTTGGGAGCAGAGCCTTGGGAGCAGAGCCTTGGGAGCAGATATTAAGTGTACATAAATATTCACCCGATTTATAGTCCCTACCCTTTCCGGCACAGAATATGTGATAGTGCTTTCCCTGACACGAGGCCGGTACAATATCTATTTTTCCAAGAATTTTCAAACTAGGAAATGGTGAGTAGAAATAGACCAGTTTTAAGGCTGAGACTCTCTGCTGGACAGTGGACACTGCTTCAGTGCCTGCGCTTTACCTCAGCCACAGCCTCTCCTTCAGTGCTTTGAGTCTTTCACTTCTTATTCTAATAATTCTGCTGATTCTGCGCACGTACTGGGCTGCTTTAACCTGAAATTCAGGCCCTAAGGCTGCTTCCGGAGCTTCGACTGAATCTACGTATTGTTAACCATGGGAGGGTGGGAGTGGATCCATGCGACAAATATTTTAAGCATTAAGCAATGAGCAGTTAATTTAAAAGAAGTAAATTACAAATCTGGAAAATTATCACAGCTGCATATCTCGTTTAGTACATATCTACTTTAATATTAGGTATTTTACAAATATTTAGGAATGTGGTTTAACTTTTTGTTATCCCCGCTCTACCCTCCCTAGTGATGTATTGAGATCACATGGTAGTCACGAGTTGTGCCTGTAATACAAAGCAGTATTGGCAGTATAAAGTCTTCGCTTCTGACAACTTTCGTTTGAGTTTGGTGTGGTGTGTGCTTTTATTTCTCAAGATGATACGAAATACAATTGTTTGTATCTTTGCAGTTCTTGCTTTAGGTGAGTTGTGTTGCCTTTAAAACCGTTTTAGAAGTCACCATATAAACAGTCGTCGATTGAGTATATAGTTGTCTGAATGACTGTGTCTTCTAATATTAATTGTCTGTGTTAGTCGAGGTGGTAGTACGTTTCTAGTTAACTAATTTTCTTTCTCCTTGTTCAGTATGAGTAATAAAACCTAAATTCAAAGTAAAATCCGGCGTAACTTTGCTTTTATCTTGGATAAGGTTAGCAAACTCTCGAGCAAACTTGCGCAATTATAGCAATTTGCAATAGTTTCATATTCAGCAATGCTGCAATATGGGGAAAATAATATCGAAATATGATATAAATATATATTAGAGCATTAAATAAAAGCATTGTTTGATACGCATAGAAGTGTATATAAAGGTTTCATTGCTAATTTTATGATTGTCATATGTATAGACCTGAAATTTAAGGCCTATGCCTATGGAATTATGCACCTATCAATGTTAAGCCCCCAGGGGGGGAGGCCGGGATATAGGTGGGGATTAGACTTTTTGAAGAAAATTTTGAGCTAATGCCCCAATATGGGGCAACAAAATACAGGTGAATATTGAAATATTCCCCACCCTGGGGACCAAATCCCCACAGTATAAAATAGAACATAATAAACAAACTTAACAAATTCTGTTGAGAATAGAGCAGCAACGTTGTTTAAAATCATTAAAAGGATTTATTTACAGAACTGTTGATTGTTGAATGATTTAGGACTGTTAAATTTTATTTAGGACCAATGAATGTTTCAACAACATTATTCAAGTTTTTCTCCATCAAAACGTTCAAAAATTCCGTTAAAATTCTATTTCTACTCGTTTCGCTTGCCATTCTGCTTGTTTTCCATGGGGTTGCCCAACTGCATCCAAGGAATTACTGGTCAGCGGTAGTCACACGACTTAAACACGTGGTTTAAGATTTGTCAAATGTACCAACCCTCGGGCTCTGGTAAATATCCCCACTTGGGGCAAGAAATTTCGTGCAAATCCCGAGGGTACGCCCGGCCTCCCCCCCTGGGGGCATAGGTGCATTATAAAGGTATCATCAGTTTATGGAATTATAAAGGTATCATCAGTTTATGGAATTATAAAGGTATCATTTTTATAATTGTGTCAAATTCCTGTATGGAATGAGACTTTTTTGTGCGCCGGACATGTGCACCAAAATACTAGTAAATGACAATGTATTGCTGTACAGCTGGTTGTGCGCCCGACATGTCCGGCGCACATTACTTAGATTCCATACTGGGTCAAATTGGACAAATGTTGGCTGAAAATTCAACAAATTTTGACCGAAAATTGGGAAAATTTTTTATGATTCTTGTGCAATTGGCAAATGCTATATAGTCCATCGTAGGCTATGTTTTGAAAGTATAAATACAGACCGTATTCTTGCAAAATTTCAGCAGAAAACAAATTTATAAAGCACTTTGTGTAAAATAAGACCAATAATGAAAAATAATCAAAATAATCAAAATTTCACACACTCCTGATAACCCAATGCGGGTGGGTGACGGTAAACTAATACCTTAATTCTGTTGGCCTCAGGACTGTATTTTCTTGACTTTTCCTAGCGTTTGCCTGAATTTCAATGGTCGTATAAAAACTAAAACCACTAATAATTATATAAATTATGACATATAGCACATGGAAGTGCATTTCCACACTGCTGTCGTAATAAACGTTTGTTCAAGAAGGAAAGCGAAAGGTAAGTGGTTAAAATTTTGTTTTGGAATAGGGATGAGCTGATCGCTGAAATTGCCGATTAGCCGATTCGATTAATCGGTGTCCGATAATATGTAATAATCGATTAATCGGCTATCTCCATTTACACATTTACCAGTAGGCGTTAGTTGTCCTGATGAACCTCAGATGCTTTTGAGCATTAAAATGAAGCTTGAGAAGCTAATGTAGTAAAGCACTCAGCTACAGTATCTCTAGCATTGGAAGAGGAAGAGTCCTCCCTTCTAAAGCTGGATGCAAATTGAAAAGTTTTCCACTTCTTTTTCATGACATTCTCTTTTGTTTCATGTAATGGTCTTCTGTGTGCACACAATGTTTTCCTGTCATGGGGTTACATGTATAAGTGTTAATTTTCATATTTAATAATGAGATAAGAGGTGAGATAAATGCAAGGTCTTATTTGTACGTATTTGTGTTGCAGCAGCATGCCACTCTATAACGTGAAAAGATTGTTAATAAACATGTGCAAAAACCACAATGAATACACAGATTTTCATTTATTACTAATAGAAAAAAGAAACTGGTCAATAATTGGCAAATGGCCAATAATTGGCAAATGGCCAATTATACAGAAATAATCTGCCGATTACCGATTATTAAAAATTGGCTGATTATCGGTCGATTAATCGGCCCATCCCTAATACTGGCCATCTCTATTTATTTCTAAATGATGTTGACTTTTATTGCAGCACATCTAATGAAAGTGTGACTATGAGTTCAGATGAAGGTACTGAATATTTTAAGGTATTATTAAAGACATCTGGTCAATGTTGTTTACTGTCTTATTATTTATTAACTGAACATTTGAACAAATACAAGGCCTTCTTATTGGCTTATATGAAATATGTGTTGTATTTAAGTTCTTTGCAGGATTGCATGGCGATAAAACATATAATACTTTTTGTTTGTGGAAACACCACATAAATTTATTTCTGCAAAGCTTTCAATCCGTAAGCCCGGATCTTCATCAGTGCTAATAAGGGACCGGAAAAAGTCACCGAGAAAAGGGGGGTGGCTTCAAATATTTTTTGCCTGAAAACTGAAAAATATGTGACAAGGGCGACCCCAATTTTTTAATACTTTCCTCCTCATTTTCAATCTCTCGCCTTTATCATATCCCACAAAATATTTCACGTTTTTCAGTTCCTATAATTGTAGTTTCCATAGTTTATTACAGTACCGTCCAACGGAAACTATACAGCAAGTCATTATGTGTAACGAGCGAGAGGTTGTGATAGCGCCCCTCGCAAGGTTTCGTTTCGCGTCGCGTTTCTCGCTCGAACATTCTCAAAACTCGCTCGAATCTTGTTCGAAAAAAATATATAGTTTCCGTTGGACGGTACTGCATGTATATGCAGTTCACCAAAAGAGTCGGAGTAAATGACAACCATTTTGAATACTGGTCCTCTAATTATTTAGGCTACACAATGTCTTACACCAGTACTTGTCCCATTACCTATTTTACACCAAAAAATGTAACAAATTAAGTGTTGGAGAAGGGGTGTTCTAAATTTTCTAGATGAAGGTGGGGCGTCTTGAAAATAAATGTCTTGCAATTGGTGCGACTCTAAAAAAGTTCAATATTAGCGAATATCACCCACCGCCCCCTCCCATTATCAAAGACCAGTCCCTAAAATATAACATATCGTTAGTACTAATGAAGATCTGGGCTTACGGATTGAAAGCTTTGCAGTAATAAATTTACATGGCATTTCCACAAACAAAAAGTATTGTATGTTGTATTTATTCAATATTTTAATAAATAATAAGACTGTAAACAACAGTGACCAGATGCCTTTAATAATAATAATAAATTCTAGTGATTAGCCGATAATTGGAAATTAATCAGTAGAAGCCGATTTATCGGCTATTTTTATGCAGCTCTGGTATCGACCGATTTCATGGACGTAAATCGGCATATATCTGCTTCTGATAAATATCATTCTGGCTATAAAAACAGTGAAAACTGGCTGTTAGAAACTAGTAAGACTTTGTTTTTAGTAATGAAGAGCGGCAAGTTATTTTCAGACAGTTGTTTTCACAAATTCAATCCTTGACTATTGTACTGACATTTTTTCAACCCTCATTCTTTTGTTTTGGTAGCGTTTTGCCCCAATTTCGAGTGTTACAAATTCGAGAATTTCGTGTTATTCAAATATCGGTTGCTTCTGATAAATTGCCTAAAAATTGGCTGGTAAATTGGATTGGAATATATTGGATCAGTAAATGTGTTTTTCCTCAATCGGCTCATCATTAAGAAATTCAATGTCTTCATCTGAACTTGTTGTCACACTATCATTTGTGCTGTGTTGAGAAAGGACATAGTTTATAAGCTTTAGTAGCCTGAAAAGTTAAAACAGACCTACATTTCGCCCGCCCTACAATTCACAGGTCGACAAAGGGCAAAACATAGGTCTGATGAAAATGTTGTCAAAACACTGTGGAATCCGACCGCCTGGTGGTCTGAATAGCTGATTGGCTAATTCACAGGGAAATGGGTTGTGATTGGTTGGTCGCTAACATGAAAAGATCAGAATATATTTCAACGGTAAATCAAAGCATATAATATGCATACAGTGTGATATTCTAAATATTTTGTGATGTCGAACGACAACTACCTGTAGTCTATCAGTATCTACCATCTAAAATTAAAACTATGGAGGGGAGTAGAGCAGTACGTGTGAAATACTTCACCGTTGTGTCTTTCTGTTGTAATATACAAGACAAAATAAATTTTTACACGATCTAAGTTTTGTGATTAATCATAATAAAACTGATACAAATATGTGTGCATTCATGATTTACATTTTGATAACATAGCACATACAAAATATTTTATTTAGATTTTCCATTGTATGGCGATTTCAAAATCTATAAATTGTAAGAGTTGGGATGCAATTCAACAATAGGATATGGCCACTGCCAAATTTGTGTAGGCAGATTTATCGCATTTATAGAATGTGTTGAAAATGCTGTATTACTAGCTGTAACTGTTTATAAAAGCAACAGGCTGCATGGGGCTGCATCAATACTTTAAATAATTATTCAAATATCTGTACTTATCGACTCTTACTTTGTTTACAAACTTTCAATAAAGTGAATCGACAACTTTCATTGTATTTTTAGGTGTTGCATGTAAATGTTTCAAGCGGAAGGCGATTTTGACAACATTTTCATCAGACCTACGTTTCGCCCTTCGTCGACCCGCGAATTTTAGGGCGGGCTTGATTTTACAGTAACAAGATCACGAACAGTTCACGTGCGGACTCACTTCCGCGCGGTAAGATTCCGAGAAAACATTTTATAGTGAACATGTAAGTGCATCAAGCATCCTAGCCCCAAATCAAATTTTAACCACTTACCTTTTGCTTTCCATATTGAACAAACGTTTATGCAGCATGGAAAGCACAGCAGCGTGGAAATGCACTTCCACATGCTATATTTATGTCATAATTTATAATGCAAAAATTAACAAATAATGAAAGAATTATTATTATGATTTATGTTTGTTCCTGAAAATCCTGTAGTTCCTATAGATCCTGTAGTTCCTGTATTTCCTGGGTTTCCAAATTAGGCTGTTGCGGTATTTGAAAAAAAAAAACGAAAACCGATACCGGAAAAAAAATACCGATATTTTTTCGCGATTGTATTTTGCTTAATTTTATGCAAAATTTGCTTAATTTTATGCAAAATTTTCTGTTTTCAAATGATGCCAAACAGCCATGATATAACATCTTTGACTCATCGGGTGCGTGATATTTTCGCTAAAGTGTGAGGCCAGTGATCAGTAGCCTGTGAAATGTTCCCTTTGAATTGAAAATGCATATTACTTTATATTAGCATTGATTACCGCACCAGATGAATCATGTGTGATACTTTTGACCGGGAAATTGTTTCAAAACATTTTATTCAACTGCGAGTTCGAAACAAAGATTGTCCTATCTCACCAGATAAACAATGTCCAATGAGGTTAGTCAGTTTTGTTTTTCTAAAACATTCGTAATCCACCGTTGTTTTTACATTCTAAAAGTTCACTTTTTGATAAGCGAAATGACATATTACACCTTGCAACGACAACGTACCAACACACACGTTTTAGATTGCGCTCTAACCTTAATTTACGGATTTTCCCGCCGAGTTAGCACATTGATCGTCTTTGACCTTCTGAAATAACTCTGAAATAACACAATCAGCGCTAGAAAAAGCTTGATATGACGTTTAAATATACAAACGTAAACATGATATCGATAATACCGAAGAATATCGATAACACCGAGAATATCGATATTCCGATATATCGAAAATTTCAATATCGAGTAATCGGTATTTATAAAAAAACCCGATAATTATCGGTATATCGATATACCGCAACAGCCTATTCCAAATGCCTGAAAGCAAATTATGCTGTGGCATCTGCAAATAAGCATAGCTACCACACAAAACAAACACTTAGTTTAATAAGTTGATGAAGTGCTAGAATTCGACAAAAAAATTAGTGACACGCATGTTTGGTTTAGAAGAGACATGTTTTGTTGTGTGGATTTTTTATAAGAATGCTTTCTTGATTTGAATGACAACCAAAATGTGTACTTTTCCTGTGTTGTCATTTACACAAACCACATGCAAAACTCGTGTAGTTGACTTTCATTAGAGCTTAGTGTAATGAAAATTGTCTTTTGTTAGATTTGTACAATGCTTTGTGTAGTTGTGAGTGTAGCCTGCGTGGCAGGCCCATTGAATATAGGCCTGCAACAATCTCAAGGAAATTTGGTATTTCGGGGCCGTGAGCAGACTCAAAAATACTATTGGTTGAAATCATAATGTACAGTATGCCAAAATACGCGTAAATCACTGTGACGCAATGTTTATACGCTTTCAATAAAAGCGTATATTTTTGAAAGAATACTGTGAATTTGCGTTTTAAAGTAAAAACTGAACAGCTGGAAATCGTTGAGATGTTTTGGCAGGTTTCTCTGGATATCTGCCTTGACAGATCGAAGGGCATGGATACAAACCCATGCACATGTTGGTATTTCTCTAAATAATACAGTAGCTATACACGATCAATTTGAAATACTGATTGACAAAATATGTATCCTATTAAAGACATGTCGCTTTATGTATTTATGAAATTTATCGGTTATTATGAGTTCTACAGCAGACTACAAACTACAGTGCAATTTAGCTTGTATTGTGATATATTTTTACAGTTAAGAGTGTGTTATTGTCAATTTGTAAATGTTTATACTGTTCAGCCGTTGCAATTTTGAAACATATATTCGCTCATAGCTGGTCATATTTTGTATGATTTTGAAATTTATTGTAATGTTTGGACCTAAGATGGTATTGTCTTCCTTTTGATATAAATATATTTTTGAGTTCCGTTCATTATTAATACGTAAAAATAGTCAGTGTTGAGTAACGGCATTTAAACTGTTTATCAAGTCAAAATTTTCTACAGGGGCCGGTTGTATAAAACTCTTAATCACTTTTTAATCGCTATTTAGTTAAATAGTGATTAACTCTCAAATACGCGCTTCTTATTGGATGACGTTTCCACTAACTATAGTTAAGTTTTATCACTTTTTTATACAACCGGCCCCTGAATTGTATCACGTACTAATGTACCAAACCGACATCGCCGGTGTAAATTCTGTTTTATTTACTCTAAAATAATTTATTAAATTGCCAATTTTTTTACAGTTTGAATTCTTGAGCTACTCTATGAACTATACAACAGTAATAAAGTATATTTATAGTTATTACTCGCACTGCATCACGCACACAAATTTCAGAGAATATGATTGGTTGGATTGGAAATAAATTATCATAGTAATTAGTGGGCGGTGATCAAATTTCCTTGAGATTGTTGCAGGTGTTACAAAACTTTACATAATAACGTTAACAATTCAAGCGCTTTCATTGGTCGAGAGCCATGATCTATTAGAGGATAGATGCACGGAATAGGCAATTCCAGCTTTTAGTTTATGCGTGCAGGGGATGATGGGAAGTAAGGTATCATATTGCCGATTATGCTGAAAAATGTCAATAAAAACTGCCGAAACAACCCAAATATTTCAACATTTACAAGTATAAGCTATCACTCCGTGTTTACACCCACCATTTTTTATTTTTTCAGCATAATCAGCAATATGATACCTTACTTCCCATCATCCCCTGCACGCATAAACTAAAAACTGGAATTGCCTATTATGTCACACAAAACTCTTTGCCCTGTACAGCCAATCACAACACAGCACGTGACTTAAGGTAGCCAATAGCATTCTCTTATTTGTATAGATCATGTACGTGTGATATTTGTAAAGTTTAACTTTTTCAAATTTCCAAATGTTTGGGTGGATAAAAAGTAAGCTATGAAAAGTAACCTGTTTAATTTGGGGTTTTTCTTTTTATTGTATAAATTATGAAACAATATAACTGCCTGGGTGGCTCATCCGCTACTTTTTTGTTCTTCCCACATTATGACGTCATACTGTGTATCTTCTATAACTGAACAGAAAACGGCAAAATCTTATCTACCTTGTATTAAAATTCGCGCAGTACTACAATTCGCGCAGCGCTGGGTGCGTAATATGAGACACTCATTGTTAGTAATGCAAATCTTTGTGGTGTAATATGAGACACTCATTGTTGGTAATGCAAATCAGTTGAGTTATTAACTGTATTGGGCAAATGAGAACTATACAATATGGTGCTTCGGTGGCCAAGTGGTTAGCGCTCTTGCCTTTCACCTCTGAGGCCGAAGGTTCAAGCCTCAGCGAGAACCTTCTCAATGCGACTCGAACCCAGTCCTCATGTGAAAAGAGCAAAAGTCAACGCTCTGCCAAAAGTTGTGGGTTTTCCCCGGGTACTCCGGTTTCCTCCCACAGGGAAAGTTGACAGGGTGGGTTAGGTAAAAAGGGACCACAGTAATCGGCATATGCCGCTGTGGTGACCCTGCCCTAGTTGGCAACTTTAGCTAAATAAATAAATTTTTCAGTTCTTGTTGGTATTTTTAACTCACGCTTTATATTAATTGTTATCATGAATTTTGCTTTACATTACATAATTTTGAAGCCATTTTTTAGTTTACCTAATCGCTTTTTGATTAAGTTTTAACAAATACTGAAGTACTTGTTGATAAAAAAATATAAAAAATTACTGTCTGTTGGATTACTTGGATAGTGTTATCCTGACCTTTGTACAACTGTTCCTTGGTTGGAAAAACAGTATATTGATGTGCAACCATTATTGTAGGCTCTGACAAGTTAAGATCTTGTTTTTAGGTGGATGTGTTTTGTCAGAATCTCTAGTGGTGGCAACTTCACCACATAAAGATGCCTCTACTCCGTCTGTTGTACCATCATCGCCATTTGTTGTAACATCGTCTTCTGCTGTTGTAACGTCGTCTTCTGCTGTTGTAACATCGTCTTCTGCTGTTGTAACATCGTCTTCTGCTGTTGTAACATCGTCTTCTGCTGTTGTAACATCGTCTTCTGCTGTTGTAACATCGTCTTCTGCTGTTGTAACATCGTCGTCTTCTGTTGTAGCATCGTCGTCTGTTGCATCTTCGTCTGTTGCATCTTCTGTGTCAGCATCGTCGTCACAAGTTGTAACTTCTCGTCCTTCATCAGTTGGCATATCCTCTACTCAAGAAGCATCTGTTTCATCTTCATTAACCAGCATGGTTACACCTACTGCTAGCATTGTACAATCAAACTCTGTAACAGTAACATCATCCCCAGTTGCTACCCCATCCCTCCGTTCTACAGTGATTTCATCTAGCCCGGGGGTTCATTCATCGTCAATCGTGCCTTACATCACAAGCTCTGCTGCGCCCTTGATTACTCCGTCACCTACAGCTGTTGTGTTTCCTGAAACTATTCAAATAAACGACACGGACGGAAAACCATGCCTTTATGTCAAGTTAGAAGTTGATTTTGTGATCCATTATAACGCTACCATAAAGGTAATGTGTTACAATTATATCTGTGCTTATAGTTTTTGAATTTTTCAATCAGAGTTAATTAATCATCTAATGTGGTGTTGGATATGAAAACCTAGTTAAGTAAAGTTTTGCTGTTGGCCACTTGGCTTAAGGAAGAACACTTCTCATGATGTTTTGAGCAAAGGCAGTTCGTGCCTTTTTTGCTGAAACTAATGTCTTTCACTGCTGATTTTTAAAAGTTGCTTTAAGCCCCGGTCAAACGACAATGAGAGTTGGAAGTCGCTAATTGTTACAGGGGACATTTCAAGCTCTAGATTAACAAAATAGAGGTTTGATGAGTGTTCCAACTAGGTTTCAACTTAAATATACGTAATAATTCATGATAGTGTTGGGACACTATAGCAAAGCTAAATGAGCGTACCAAGGTTGTGTGACTGCCAACTCTCGTGCATTCTCATCCCCATTTGATCAGGGCTTTAATGTTTGTCAGTAAAAGTTGCCTGTGCCATGCTAGCAAGATGCATAGCTGTCTGGAGCAGTGAAAGAGTTCAGTTTTAGCTTGGGCCATCCATAACTTTCAACATTTTCATAATGATACGAACGGTTTGGTGGAGGTGAGGGGGTTAGTGAAATGCATGCTTTGAAGTATATAGTTTCGTCATCATTCCTGAGAGCAAGTCAGGCAAGAGGAGGTCATAATTATGTCTTTACTGTACTATGTAATCTAAGGCATTAATTGCAATATTGCATGATGTTACTCTGATTCTAATCTGTTGTGGCAGGGAGTGGGCACTTTCATTGTTATTCTGGAAAATCATTGTTGGTCAATACAAAGTTTGGATTATTTAATTTTTTTGACCTTCTAGAATGTAACCAGCCTAAATACCACAAAAATCCCATTGAATGGTTTTGACAATTCGACTGGAGCCTGTAGCTACAGTGAAGGACGAGCAAATTTTCTGATCACATGGAATGAAGACGGAAACGTAAAACCCCAGCATGCATTTCAAATGAAGTTCCAAAGTGCTCATGGAAGATGGAATGTATCGGAAGTAAATGTGTTGTTTCAAACAATTGGTGACCGCAATTTCCAACATGCTACCGAACCGAGTAAGTATTTTTGTAGTCACTATTCCATATTTCGGACAGTAGCTGTCAGGACCATTTTTATTTACATATTTCGGACAGTAGCAGTCAGGACTATTACATATTTGCGACAGTAGCTGTCAGGACTATTACATATTTTGGACAGTGGCTGTCAGGACTATTACATATTTTGGACAGTGGCTGTCAGGATAGCCCGCGTGCAGGCCCAGGGAATAATAGTGGGCCTGCAAGCAAGACCCGGTATTTTGTACTTTCCGCGTTCGCCCACGAACGCAGCATTCTGATTGGCTGTTTGCTATTGGATTCTATAATTAGATCAGTGATTCATCACAAAGGCTCTCGAAAAATTGGATCTGATCACTTTTTTCGATTAAAAATGGAACAAGAACAGACTGTTTGTTGTTTACTTGAAGGAAGAAATGTTTTTGCCGTTATACCAACGGGGATTGCTTGTCGTGAAGTGTCGGAATAGCAACATTACGACTGGGGTAAACTATAGTAACCTTTACTTGAGTTTCATTAATTTCAAACAGACTTGGTACGTTATATGTTCCTCAAGAAAATTATCTTTTGGTTGATGTTGACTCTGTTCTTGCACTGAAGAAAACAGTGCTTTTCGCGGTGAAGATTTAGAGGCAGTTGCATTAGAGCTGTGCAAACTCCGGTTATTTTAGCTCCGGCTGTCAAAACTCCGGGTCCGGCAAGGAAATTTTAAGGAAATTTCATATTTAAAAGTAGAAGCAGGCAAAGTATTTCAGTGTAATTTCAGAATTTATTTTATTCCTTTTTGAGCTTTCTCCTCTACTTATCAAATATACGTCATTTGGTGCTTGTTTAAACGACGTTTTGTAGAAAGTAAAACCGCATGGCAGCGTGGTATTTTCGCACAAAATACATTGGGGTCAGTGGATTTTTGTATCAAAAGCAATAGCAATGCTCTTGCAGAATTTTCGAAGCCACGAATCAGATCGGAGCAAGTAATTAAACTTTATAGTAACTTCAAATCATTCAATTTAATTTTTCCATTACCAAAAGTTCATTGAAATATGAAATAATTTTTCCTAATTTTGTCTGCCGGAGTTTTTGCCTGAGTTTTCCGGCTCCTGCAAAATATGCCGGTACTCCGGAGCACAGCTCTAAGTTGCATGTAACTGATGTAAGCCTATTCGAAACACTTTGCGATTTGCAGGGCTTCGCTGAGAGAGCGAACCAGAAGACGCTAATTGCCGTTTGAAACGAAACGATCTGGACTCTGAACGCTCTCTTCTTTTGTCGAGTTCTTTACCAAATGACATAACTGAAATAAATTTCGTACTTTCCGCCGCCAACAAGAATTGCACACACGGTCTGATAAGTGAGACAATTTATTTATAACAATGGCGACAGCGAAGCACACATTTATAATGCTAATGTGGTCGCACGACTTCCCTCACGATTTGAAGTTTGAGACTGGTTTCTGTTCAAATTCGTCCTAATGTGCCTGTTCCGATTTTAGTTGAAAATGAGCACTTGCAAATTTGGCAATTACTGACTGCGTTGCTTGCTTTTTTGGAGTTAAAACGCAGCCATTGTTTCTATTTTGAATAAGCAGAGAAAACCCCGCAACATTTTAATGCGAGTTTGTTTGTTACTATTTGGGTTTCTACCATTGGTTATTTTTTGACAATTGACGCGCGAATGGGGCGTGTTATGAAAACGGGCGTTTTACAAAATACCGGGTCTTGCTTGCAGGCCCACTATTCTTCCTTTGGCCTGCACGCGGGCTACTGTCAGGACTATTACATACTTCCGACAGTACCTGTCAGGACTATTACATACTTCCGACAGTAGCTGTCAGGACTATTACATATTTTGGACAGTGGCTGTTAGGACTATTACTACGGATGTCACCGAAGTGTGCGAGCCACTAAAATTTCGCACGACCGCCACGCCCACAAAGCGTTAGCGACCCGCCCACAAACTTGCATTGTTATTGTATTATTGCGATTGTAGTATTTGTAGATTTCGTAGCGAAAAAATGGGAGATGTAAATAAATATGGGAGAAATTATGTGCGGGGAAAAACATTAAGCGAGGATATGGTCTCCCTTGTAATCGATGAAATAGTAGATATGGGTGGCGATACTGCGACAGGCTTTTTTGAACAGTACAGTGCAGTTGCTTCTAAGTTCAAACTATCTCCTAAGACTACGAAAAAGGTTTGGATGCAATTTTGTAAATCTGGGCAACTAAAGCCAAAAAAATCATGCGCATCTGGTGTCAAACATTTAAAACCTGAAGACTTAGACTTCATAGAATTCCTCAAGACTGATAAACCATCCATGTCATCAGGCGATTTGCTCAAGGAAGTTGAACGCCACTGTGTTATTCCCGAAGGGACAAGCCGAGAAGCGATAAACAGGGCAGTGAGGAACTTTATGCACGATGGGAAATGGTCGAGGAAAGTAATGTGTCGACCTGCCGCAGAAAAATTCACTCCAGAAAATATCGCTTATTGTCAGGAATATTTAAATTACGTTTCAACAGTAGACCCTTTTCGCCTTAAATTTTTTGACGAAGCAGGCGTAAAACTCCCTGATGTAGGGAACCCTAAATATGGCCACTCGTTGGTTGGAAAACCGTGTGTTGAGATTCAGCGAAACTCACAGACACCAAATATTACGCTCAACCTATTGTCAGGAGCAGACAGTATAATGTACGCCAACACAACGCGCGGGGCAAGCAACACAGTAAAATTTCTCGAGTTTTTTGGTGAAGCATCGCGAAATTTCCAGCCTGATGGCAAACCCATACTCGAATATGGTGACCATATTATAATGGACAACTGTTCAATTCACCATTTTCAAGGTGGGCAAGTCCTTGGCGAATGGCTGGATGATATAGGTTGTGTACTTATGTACCTACCGACTTATTCGCCAGAACTGAACCCGGTAGAACTAGTATTCAACAAACTAAAAACAGTGTTGAAAAGAGCAGAGTACAGAGACTTGTTGAGAGACAACCTGCATGTTGCCGTTTTTGAAGGCTTGAAGCAAATAGAACCAAACGATATGCATGGGTTTTACCGTTATACTGGATATATTGATATCTAAAATGTTACCTGTAATTGTTATGGAATCAGTTACATATAGTTAACTCAACTAAATCATGCAATATACTAGGCAGTATTATTAATAGACAAATATTTCCATTTAGCCCGCTTTTATACCGTCTTTTATGCTTTACTATATATCAATGGTGGTAAATATGGAGTATTACACTATTACTGTATTAAATGACAACAATTTGGACAGACAGTGGGCAAGCAAACTAAACAAAATTGGCCATGGCCCAAACCGATAATGTTACATGCAATGTTCATAATTATGTTAAAAGTATAAAACTGTCGATTTTTTATTTCCGTTGAGTTTTGGGTACAAAAATCATAAATTTTACCAGTATTCGAATTGAAAATCTGAATATTGAAAATTATCTATTGAAAAACTTTTACAGTCAAAATACAAGTGTCCCACATCCGCTTCAGTCTGTAGTCTGTTGTGAATTATTGTACTCATGCAGTTGTTCTACCGCTACAGGACAACAGAACATTAATAAATGCAATGTATTTATAGTATTAAATCACAACAAACTGCAAAAGTGGGTGGGGCACTTTGTAATTTGACTGCAATCTATATATAATATTTGTTTGTGCAACAAAAAGTGTATAAAATGGCATGTTTTGAAAATTGTTGAGTGTTGGGCAAAAACTGTTCCTGCCACTGGCTCTGATGTAAATGTGTCAATAAGTCATGAATTTTACTGTAAAAACACAACACAACATGAAATATAACGTCATGTTCATGTAAAAGAACAAATATGAAAACCTTTTCAATATAGAAATTAGAAGTTAAAAATGTCAACACCAAATTAACTAAACTCGAGATAGATTTATCCCTAGCTTGTAGATGTACATATGATCATATAAGTATATACTTATGTGTCACTTTTTTTCAACAATATTTGCAGCTTCCAAGAGCAAACCTAAACCACTCACGTCTTCTTCTGCATCTGTTGACTGTATTTTTGCGGTTGAACGGGAAGCACGTTCGTGAGAATATCCCGATTCACACGGACGCTGATTGCATTGTAAACTTTGATTCACTGCAATCTGTATATTCTTCTTCGCGCTTAGTATTTGGTACAGATACATCAAGGACAGATGTGCTCACCATGGCTTCGACGTTCCCCCTATTTACAACAGTACTATTAGGGAGTGAACCACGACCTGGAAATGTAATTCCCTTTTTTTCCCACAATGATTTCACTGGATTAACATGTTTACTGACGGTTTGCTCGTTTTCGGTTGAAGAAGTGTCACGAACATCGAAGCGTTCATTGTATTTTTTGAGAAGGGAAGGTATTTCATATTTCGATGGCACTTTACCTTGACAAATTCTTTCTAACTTTCTCACATCACAATTTACTATCAGCCAGTTGGGAATAAAATGGCCAGTTGTGCTTTTGCGAAGATACTTTTTAGGGTAGCTATTTATCAAATCTGTTTGTACTTTTGCAACAAAAGTATCCTTAATGCCTTTCAACATTTGTCTCTTGCCCTTCAGATCATCTTGTAGTCGGTGTAGCTTACCCTTCAAGGTTTTCAATTCTTCTTTTTGTTCCTTTAAAAATTTGTTTTCATCCGGATGGCGTTTTATTTCATGACAATATGAGGCCGATTCGCACAGTGTAAACAAACAATTAGTCTTGTTATGGCCAGGGGTATGGCAATATGAACATAGTGGCAACTTAATGAAATCTTCAGGTTCTCGGAAACTCTCTTCAAGTTCCAACAAATCTTGCTCTTTCTCCTCAATTGTTACTCGCAGCTTTTGTTCGTCCGTTTCAACTTTATCAAAATATTTCTGTGTCGGTGATATGTATTGTTCTATATTGGGGTATTCAAACCCAACGGGTTCGTCTTCGACAACACTGGTTTGGTCATCATCGCACAAATTGATTAAAGCAGGTCTAGAATTGTCCTCAAGATTGTCATTTAAATTACGTTTACTTCTAAATCGTTTTTGTGAAGTGTTTTGCTTACTATTAGGAGACGGCGAGTAAAATCTCTTTGACTTTGAGCTGATTTCACTGCTCTGAGATGAAGTAGCCTGCGTGGCAGGCTCTTTGGATGAAGGGTAACTCGATACTTTTAAAACGATTCGAACTGCATCTTCGCGGTCTGGAATAGGCTCAGCTGTTTCGATCATATCCACTAATGAGTCAAAGTCATCGCATCTTAGATCAATCCAATCCTTGTCTCTGTCCATGTATCTAATACGCAACAGCTCAGTCGGGGAAATGTCACATTTTTCATGCAAGTATTTCACTAATAACTCCGAACTAAATCGCTTTATCTCTTCCTCGCGTAAGAAAAATTTAGAATAATTCTTATGATGACCATATGAGTCATATTCGACCTTAAACTCGTACCTTTTTCCTTTCATAGACAGCATTTTCAGTATAAACAAATACACGCTCGAATATACCGAGAAAAACACAGCAAAGTTTTGAGACAAAACGTGTATGCCTTTGTGGGCGGGTCGCTAACGCTTTGTGGGCGTGGCGGTCGTGCGAAATTTTAGTGGCTCGCACACTTCGGTGACATCCGTAATACATATTTTGGACACTAGCTGTCAGGACTATTACATATTTTGGACAGTGGCTGTTAGGACTATTACATATTTTGGACAGTAGCTGTCAGGACTATTACATATTTTGGACAGTGGCTGTTAGGACTATTACATATTTCGGACAGTGGCTGTCAGGACTATTACATATTTTGGACAGTGGCTGTTAGGACTATTACATATTTCGGACAGTGGCTGTCAGGACTATTACATATTTTGGACAGTGGCTGTTAGGACTATTACATACTTCCGACAGTAGCTGTCAGGACTATTACATATTTTGGACAGTGGCTGTTAGGACTATTACATATTTTGGACAGTAGCTGTCAGGACTATTACATATTTTGGACAGTGGCTGTTAGGACTATTACATATTTTGGACAGTGGC